CAGCTCTTCAAGGTTGTTATACCTGGTGGTAAATTTATGATATTTAGTGATAAACTGATAAAGGCTGATAAAAGATTATGTCAAACATGTGCAATGTATAATGCTGCTACCACTGTGACAGTAACTTGAAATGCTCATGAAAATAACTGATAACCGATTTCTTATATAACGTTATCATTAAAAGTACAGCTCCTAGAGGTTGTTATACCTGGTGATGAATCATATTATTAACAATGATTATAAGTGGCTATTAATTTGATAAATGCTGATCATAATAATCATACAGGTTTCCAGGTAAAACTTGCATATACCAACAACTAGAGTACAGGTATACAGAAAGACTATGTCAAGTTGTGGACATTTTCAAGTATGATATATCAGATTTTGAGAAAGGAAAAAAATCTTGCAGGAAGCTTATAAGAGTCTACCTTGAGGAATCCTGTAGAAGCCTTAGAGATTCTAGGAAAAGGACAAATCTTTAACAGGAAGTCTACCGGAAGTTGGTCATAGGTGTGGGCATGTAGCAGGGAACATTGCAGAGGTTCAGCTGATATTGAATATTACTAGCCCCAGTACAGATACAACTTTACAGAATCATGGAACAATTTTCTTCCATTCCTAATGTGTAAACTGCAAGAACATTGTCAGGAAAAAATTGTCTAAATGAAGACTTTAAGAAAGCTTACTAAGTGTTATATACCTAGAGAGACAATTAATTGACTCTGAACTGAACTGAGCGTAAACCAGCATCAAGAGACCACGTCTAGCTGCGATGCTGTTCTAGATCTCGAGTCAAACAAAAAGCTGACCTTGCGAAGTCCCTCTCCCCCAGGGCTGCAATGCTGTTCTCCTGGAGTCAGACAAATAAATAAACAAACAAACAAACAAACAAAAAGATGACCTTGCAAAGTCCCTCTCCCCAAGTGCTGCGATGCTGTTCTCTTGGAGCCGGAAAGTTGTCATGGAAACCGGCATGTTCCGGGGCACGTTGCGGAGGTTCTTGCCGTAACAGGTACAGGCAGAGGAGCAGTCCCCCTCGCAAGGCGGCGCCGCTCGAGATTCCTTCAAGACAATCAGGAGGAGAAGGAGGGTCTTCAGCCTGGTCTCCATCATGTCTTAGATAGAGCTGCAGGAACAAAAGACATTAACCTTATATATAGTGTTTACTGTTTCTTGAAATTTCAAAGTTTGTTTGTTTGTTTGTTTGTTTTCATGCATTGGCAAGAAAAGACTTTCTTGAATCATGCAAAATTTGTTTTAGAAAATTCACATGGTGTTCACATGGTGAGATCAGTAAAAACAAACAAACAAACAGCAGTTAGCTTATAGTTGTCAGAACAAAGGATGCTATAAATACATGTATAAGGGTGTGACCGAGGCACCACCCTTAAGCTTTATTCTCAGTGCCTCAAGATCAGTAATGATATTGTGCAATATTTTGATCTACATTTTACATGTCTGCACCTACTAGTAAATCTCAGAAATGCAAACAGTTACTGTGATAAGAGTACAAATACAGACACTTACCTTGTAATGGACACTGCCTAGATTTCTGTGCAAGGTTGTATCAGGAGTAAGCTGGAAGTGTGATCAGCATGACGGCAGGGTGGAAGGGGAAGTCATGAGTTCACAGATGAACCTACCAGATAGAGGGAAACGCTGCCCTTATATGTTCCCACGTGGGCCAGACTTCCTGGTAGTTTACTCTGAATCTGTAATCTCCAAGTAGATCTTTTGGTGGCTAAAAAACAGTATCAAACTTTGCAGGACAGTTTTAAATTGGCTGGGCAAATGTATCAAAATATAATGCCACATATTAGATTAGCTGGTGAAGAAAAAGACACTAGTACAAGAAAGAAAGCCACATAAAAATGCTGAAAAGCACATAAAAAGTAAGTAATCTCCAGCTTTGGTGACAAGACAATATCAAATTGGCCAGGCAGTGTCCAATATTCAAAGTTCAACATTTTACTGGCAAAAAAGATACCGACATGAAAAAGAAAGCTCGATAAAAATGTCTAAAATAAGTCAAAAAGTACAAACCAAAGTCGAAACTTTGTTGGGAGAGTTTGACTTCTATAAGTCCAGCCCAGTGTGAACTAGAAGTCAAGGCCGTCTGGCAGAACTTAGGATGTGACGAGCCCAGATGATGCAGACAGATAGCAGTGATCGTGCCCTTATTTGTTCTCACATTTCACAGATCATGCTTCCTGGGTTCAATAGACTGCCTGGGTTCTGATAGACCGGTCACAACTTGAATGTGTGATTGCAGACTTAACCAAGGCATTTATGGATCGATGTTAGTTACAACTGTAACAGTTGCAGATGTGTACTTCAATTTCAAATCCAACTGTCAATAGTTAATATGTAGTTGCAGAAAAGGCTGTCTTCTATATCCTTGGTAGTGGTATAATTAGTTCTGTCAAAAGCCTGCTTTACAAATTCTAGGACATCAAAATCATATGATCACTGACCTATAGCACACATGGAACTTGGGTGGGATCACACGTACAGTACCATGCAGGCACGAGTCACTTGAAGATTGCAGCCTGTGTTCAGGAGGTTATGGGTTCCAATCTTGGTCCAGCAATGACTGTGTTCAGGAGGTTATGGGTTCCAATCTTGGTCCAGCAATGACTGTGTATTGAGAAGATTGTTGGTTCGATCCCCAGTCTAGCAGTGTGTGTTCATGAGCCCATGTTGAGTCTAGCTGTCTGCATTTAGGAGGTCATGGGTTCAAATCCTGGTCTAACACAATCTGGGTCATGATCAGGAAGTTCTGAGTTCAAGTCCCAATCTGGCTGCCCGTCTGCGTTTAGAAACCTGTAAGCTGCTGATTATGGAGTTACTGCAGGGAGGAAGTTGTCTGTCCCATTCTTTTGGCAGGCTGCACTTTAACCTTAGACATGAACCAGACAAATGTGTGTGTCCAATTTGTGAGTTACTAGACTGGGATTGAAACCCATGACCCCCTGATCCTATAGTACTCTAAACGGGTTCCTCTATACTGCAAACCTCATACAACCTTGTACATCAATTACATAATGTATGTAAACTATATAATTACCACAAGTCTGGATTCCAGAGTTGGGATTCTGTTCTGTCAGGAAGTCTGACCTCTGTCCCAGTTTGCATAAGTGGCATCAAAAGTAGGGCATAGTTTAAAGCTAATAACTCCATTTGCAGACCCAATACACTCTTAGCCTGTTATGCAGTCATTACACAATGTACATGTACATGTACATTGTATGTTGTAACACACAGCCAGTGACAGTCATTGAACTACATGTACTCTACTTATAAAATAGCAAAATTACGAACATTACAACTGACAATCTTGTCTGGACTTATGTCGGTGAAGGTTAGACATCCAGGTAATAAGATACATGTACGCCAAAAACAGTTACTCAAGCAACTGGATGATTTTGGAAACGGTCAGACGTTTCAGGTAGCATCCACTACCTTTCATCAGTGACGCTAGAGAGTTGTCAGAAAAGCAGGTTCATATTAGTACCAACTATTGAGTCAGACTTAGTATCTAAGCGTAATACTAAGTAGTGTCCGTGAACCAGGTGACTGAGTTGATCTAGCCCGTGAGTACTGACATGGTATGTGGTACAAAATGTCTGCTACAAATAGTCCAACCCAGGAGGGATCCCAATTAGTCTCGGCTCGTTAAGTCAGGATTAATTACCCGGCACTAATTAGCTGGAACATCTAATTCCCATCAGAATCTTTGGCAATAGTTGATGGAAACGGCTTTTGCTTAGCAGGAGTGAGAAAATAGACATAGTGGTATTGAAAAAAAGATTTAGTATTGGATATAGTTGATGATTCGTCAGTGAAGGTTAGACATCAAATAAGATACGCCAAAAAGCAGTTACTCAAGCAACTGGATATGATTTTGGGAACTGTCAGACGTTTCAGCTACACTGTAGTATCCACTAGCTTTCGTCAGTGACTGAGAGACCAGAGAAGAAATGCAGGTTTATAAGCACAAACTATTGATTGAAAGCTGATGAAATTCACATTTGTTACCCAGTAAGATTCACGTTTAATTTGTTACTCTCGAATGATTTAACTTTATCGCTCAACAATAGAGGGGGCCCCGCAAACCCTTTTCCGTAGAGCGTAATCGGCCGTTTTAATTCTACGTAGAGCGTAGACGGACCGCTCTAATATTTTTGCGTAGAGTGTATTCGGCGATTTAATTCTACGTAATGCGTTGTAGCCATTTGGAATTTGTCGTAAAGCGTAATCGAGAGGTTTCCGAATTTAGCGTAGAGCGTTGTCGGGACCCCCCCTTGCAGGCCTTCATAGAGGGCTAGCATGGGGGTTCACCCACTACATTATCATCACGTGTGTATATGCATATGAATGATTTGGTTTTGCCTTTAAGTTTTGGAACATTAACAAAGCATCATGATGTCTCCCAGTCCGTGTCCAATTAAGAATTGTCTGTGAAAATTGCCCCGTTAAATCTTCACAAAGTAATTAACTTAATCACTCAGGGGTGTAAGACTGATAATGCTTTAACGTTTAAGTTAGACTGAGTGATAGGTGAACAACTCACCGGGTTGGAACTTTGAAACAATTTGTTTTGTGATGATATTGATATATGTGATTATAACCTTTCCTAATATTGCAGTCTTGATATGTCTGTCTTGTATTGTGAATATATATCAGACGATCAATCTCATAATGGTATAATTTCTATAATCATATCTGACTTACAATTTTGTAAAACTTTGCAGATATGACAGAGAGGAAAAGAAGCTGAGAGAAGTCAACCAGATTTATAGTATAATTGCTCATCTACTCATGATAACATGATAGGCAACTCAGACATACCCGTCTTACTTTTGATTTCTTTCCCAGTTTGCAGCCAAGTATGTGGAGAAAAAGCTGATGGAGGCCTGATAGAACAGAGGCTGACATGGCTAAAGAAGAAGACATGGCTAAAACATTCCATTTCTTATTTTTCATTCCTTTTTCCCCAGTTTGCAGCGGAGTATGCTGAGAAGAAGTTGACAGAAGTCTTAGAACAGAGGCTGACGAGAGAAGACGCAGCTAAGAACCACGAGGACCACTTCTCCATCCTCACAGACGAGATTCTCTCCGTGGACAAGAAACTGGTCGCTACAGCAAAAACACAGAACGACGTCGCAGGTAGGGACATCAGACTTTCTTTAAGGCCATGTCAAGTACTCTGTCAAGCTGAAAATAATTGATATTGTTGCATCAAGAACCATGCCTGTGGCTCAAAACGGAACGGTTGCACGGCCGATCCAGCTAGGTCCATTCGAGTGCCCGCCATTGTTTACGCCAGCGCCGACGTCACAGGTCCAGTCGCAGCGCCGCCTAGCGGACAATCGGGCGCTAGCCGGGGAACATCGAGCATGTCAGATATCACCGCAAATATGTGCGGGGTTGGCAGAAACCAATAAATCACCATTTACGAATAGGATTTTAGGTGGAAAGGCCCCAAAACTGAAAGTATTGGATTTGTCCTTTAAGAACTTGCAAAGGCAGGGAGCGGAAAAATGGATGACCAATCACTTCAAAACGTAATCTTGTGAGAGGACACGTGTCTGTAACTCACAGTAACTCTCGTGAGGTTACGTTTTGAAGTGATTGGTCATTAATTATCCTGATTTCCTTGAAAATGTGATTTCTGTGTAATCCTTGTGTTGGAAAAAAAGTTCAACATTTTACTATGATTAGTACGAAAACAGATTAACTTTCCTGTTCTAACTTTTGTCATCCCCCCCCCTTCCAGGTACAACAGCACTGGTGGCATTGCTAGAAGACAACCAGCTGACCGTGGCAAACGTTGGCGACTCCCGTGGCGTTATCTGCGACGCCGAAGGGCGGGCGATTCCGCTCTCATTCGACCACAAACCCCAGATCCTCAAAGAACGCAAGAGGATAAAGAAGGCGGGGGGTTTCATTAGTTATAACGGGGTATGGAGGGTGCAGGGCGTGCTCGCGACTTCCCGTGCCTTGGGGGACTACCCGTTAAAGGACAGGAGTTACATCGTGGCAGACCCGGACATTTTATCGTTCGATCTGAGGGACATCAGGCCGCAATTCATGATCCTCGCCACAGATGGATTGTGGGATGCGTTCAGCAATGAAGAGGCGGTGGACTTTATAAAGGAACGCTTGGACGAGCCTCACTTTGGTGCGAAAAGTATCACGCTGCAAGCATTCTATCGAGGGTCGTTGGACAACATCACGGTGATGGTCGTGAACTTTCGCGTAAAAAAAAACAGGAACGGATTTAGGGAGACATCCGTGTAGCTGGTAGAGTGCTTCTCTTTCTGTGAATAGCTTTAATCGTTAAGTTGCTAATTATTATTCATTTGGAGGAACAGAAAACTCCATACAAAATGTAACCCTTTTTGCCAAGCCTGGCTGGTACACCATCACTGAAATTCAATTGAAGCAAGAAAACAGAAACGATTCAGGGAGATGTCAGTGTACCTGGTTCTTCTCTGAACATCTGTGGATAGCTTCGTTAATTTGGTACCGGTAATTAAACAAAAATTGGATAATTAAAAATCTTCAACCAGTGAGGAACTGCTACTTGAAGCAATGAAACAGGAATAGATTTGGGAGACACCAGTGTAGCTGGTTTAGAATTCTTGTCATTCTGTGAAAAGCTTCTTTACGTTGGCAGTTGTCGTAAGACAAAGAAAATCATACAAAACCAAACCCTTTCTACCTAGCCTGCCATTTACAAAATCACTGAAACACCCTGGATAGTACCCACTAAATAATCGTTGAAGGAAGAAAATCTTAATAGTTCATACAAAACCTGTTCTGTTCATTTAGCCAGACTGTTACAGAAGCACTTATGTCCTTATTTAAAATTGATGTTGATATTTCGTAAGTTAACTGCCATCTGCAATCTAGTTTACTACTAGCCACGTTAAATTTTTATAGCAACTGTTAGTCAGCATTCTTACTGTTGTTTATTAATATGTGGAAAGTAATAATTTTTGTTTAAAAGGGCTGTCATATTAAAAATGGGGAATATGGTTGGTACGTTATTGAAAGAAGTGAAAAGGACTTGAAGATAAATTGTGAGAAATGTTGAAGGTGGTTCAAAACGAAAGTTATCTGTCAGTGAATGATGTTAGGAAATGTGTAGGACTTTACAGACAGATTCAGATATGAATAGTTTACAAGTGTGACAGGTCATTTGGTGATGTGACCAGCTCCAAGGCATGTTTGCCAAGCTGGTGTGTTACGCTGAAGGACGATAGTAATGTCTTTAACAGTTCAGACTGTTATAAGATCAATGTAGCATGTTTGCAGAACGAACTGTGCCTGGGCAAAACCTGGAACATAATTTGCATTTCTAAGGCATGTTTGCAAAGTTGGTGAGTTGTGCTGAAGGACAATGTCTTGAACAGTTCCGACTGTTGTAAGGTCCATGTAGCATGTTTGCAGAACATACTGTGTCTTTGCAAAATCTGGAACATAATGACTGTGCAGTTTTACACTTCCACAGAACGTATTGTTTAAGGTCGTGTTAGGGAATTCAGGGGTGACATCCTGTCTGTAGTTTTGAAATGTTGGGTAGGAAAAGACACAACGGACAAAATCCTGATTCTAATCTCCAAGCAGATCTTTCGGTTGGGTGGCAAAAGACCGTATCCATTGGCCATCCTGTATCCATTGGCCGTCCTGTATCCACCAACCGAAGGCTTTGGTGGCTAATGGACACTCTTCTGGCTAATGGATACTGTCTTGCCACCGAAAGATCTGCTTGGAGATTAACATTGACCAAACGTTAAACAAAAACTGTGTTTTCACGCAAGCGCAGTACGTTCTGCTGAAATGCTTGGTACAGTACGATTAACCTTCTCCCTGCTGGCTGATGCTGAAACCAATACAAATTTGGTGCAAAAAGGCTACCTAAGCGGGCAGAGGGTTAAATTTGATAAAGAGTAGAGTGGAGTCTCCATGTTCGTCTATAAGAAGACATAAAACCTGGAAATTTGATAGTGAAGCTATCAGTTCAGTTTTAGTAGAGTACTGTAATTCACTTTATGTTCTCGGTAGCAAAAGTTCACGGTCTGAGAAAAATGGACATGTTCACAGAACTATATATTCACGGTGGCAACAGGTGCAGGAAAAAGAAAGTCCAGGAATTATTTTGTTAACTGTAATGATAAGTTCACGGTACAGAAGTGACAGTGAAAACACAAATGAACATAACAGTACAATGAAAAAATCAGGAATTACAGTATATTACGATCATGTTACGAGAGCACCGATATTTTATAGCTCAAAAGTAATTTTGATTTCTCTCGACAGAGGGAATATTACACCGTAAATTTCTCCCCTGGTATCGCATAATGTTTGACAAATCATGTTTAATGTTCTTTCGGTGGCGGAGATTATTGAAAGTTGATGTTGTGTGGCAATCAGGTACAAGATGAATTTTGACCTTGAAACTACAAGGTCAAGACGGAGGTTGGGAGGAGTGTGTGACAATCTTAAGATGATGATCAATGGAGGTGTAGGTGACCTTAAGACATAAGGTTTTACAATCATACAATGTAAGGCTTGCAATGGGAAAATTAGGTAATTATTATTAATAATTCTTCAATGAGCTATTTTGAACTGTTACTGTGTATGAACTGTACTTGTTGTCCATGATTGGCAAATTAGCATAATTAATATTGTTATTGTTAATTAGAGCACAGTGAGGCCAATTAAGTTACAACTGCATAATTGTAGAGGCCCATGTGAATTTTTAGCCATAACTAGTCTTAGAACATGGACTTTGTATGTTGCTAAAAGCCATAAATGTTCTCTGTGGTATTTGTTCAATCTATAATGTTATGCATAAAATTACTATAAGTTATTAACAAGAACAAGGGGATTTTTGAAGGAAGATTAGTGGTTTAGCGACGCAAGAGGCAGAAAACAAGGAACACATTTAAGATGTGAATGTGAGAACTTTTTTGCCCAGTACATGTAAATAAATTGTAATGACTCCTGTCGGAAAATGTTAAATTTCAACTTCAAACTCCAAAGTTGCATTTATCAGTATATTACATTGTTTAAAGCATTTTTGTAAGTAAGGGTCAAGAGCAAATGTTGAAAGGCTGCTTCTGTTGATCCCAAAATTTGAAAGATTAAGAAGCTAAAGTGTGATGTTTAAGTAGAAGTCATGTTTAATTTTCATGTAAAGGTCTTAACAATTTGACCTTTTTTGGGGGCTTTACAATTGGTATTGTTGACATTATTGTGCATTTATATAATGCAGCAACCAGTGTCAAGACTTGGATGTAAATTTCTTTCCCATAAACTTTGTGCAGAATGATGTGCTCATTTTGCTTCCCGATGCATTTAGTGTGTTTTAAAAGTTAGAATTGCAAACACTTAATCTGCCTAACAAATCTTTCCCAAAAGTACAATCATGTAATTATGTCTATCAAAAGAATTGGTCCGCACAGCAAACAAGTTACTGAGTTAGACTGGCCGTTTGCGTAAGGGTTGTCTGACAATTTATTACTAAATCCTATTGAGACTGGGCCGGGCATATCAAGTGACATCCGTCATCGCACTTGTCAATGAAAATCTTTGGGGGTAGGGGTTACAAGTTAAGGTAACTCTGTGTACTAGTACATAGTGAAATGTACATGTTTATCCTTTTGCAAACAGTAGGGACTGTGTTAATATAAATTTCATGTTTACAAATCAAAACTCCAAAGAAATCCTTTGCCCTGCCTTGACCATTTACATATTTCATGGTTCCATTTTGTTATGGAATGAAAATAATGTGCAGTAAGTTCTTTATACTAGTAATCAAAGGAAGAAAATGCAAGAATACGGTTGCAAAACTTATGATTCTTTACTAGAAAATCACATACAAGAACTGTACAAAATGCTCAGACCACAAATAGTGTACAAACTGTTCATCATTGCACCAAAAATAGTTCCCACATACATGTACAGCTGCAAATGTCCTCACCTCCATATAATATATTTCCTGGCAACAATAATAAAAACACTGATGTACAAATTAGACTGTATACAGTACACAGCTGAAACTCTTGGTGCCAGACATCCCTCTCAGCAAAACTAAGGCGACTTACGGTAAGCATATCATGTTACCTGTACTGTGTGGACCTGTGAGTTAGGCCACAGCAAGTAAATTTTATGGATGACGTTCTCCACAGATCTAGACTCGCGAGTGGGCAAAAAAACAAGGTTCCTACAGTTTAAAATTTTGACTTAATCATTGTACAAATGGTTTTGATTCAGTGGGAACATCAAAAATATACACAGCATGAAAACATTAAATCAGAGCCTTTCTTGTCTCCTCTCTTTATACTATAGTTACATGTATCTGCCATCCACCTTCTGGCATGGCAACAGACATCTTTGCCCATTTTCGGCATGTTGACCGCTGTCAGAAGGCGACAAAATTTCTTGTTTTTTTTTCCCAAAGTCAGGCAAAAATGCGTGTGCTGATGTCATCCATAAAAATTACTTGCTGTGGCCTTACCGTAACTGTTGATGTCCCACTTGCCTGCGCCATGAACTATATTTATACAGAATCTCTATTTACAGAATAAACTCTGCTTCACCAAATTGTGTGTCAAGATTCTTTCTTCAACAATGGAGCCTCTGTGTGTGTGTCAAAATATTTAAAATGCAAATATTTGAAAATATGTCATGATATTTTTCTTGATATGACTTTACTGATTATGTGATATAGATCCATGGCATTTGGTTTATCAATAAAGTCCTTTCAATAATATTTGAACCACTCAAAAATATACAGTGACGCACCCAATATACAAATATTAGAGCTCCCTGGCAGAATTTTGCTTTTAAAAAACTATTTTTAATTGAAATTCACCGTTAATACCTCCAATTTGTGTTAAATTTTTTGTTAAAGGTTTAACATTAATTTGGCCTAAAATTTTAGCTATTTGGCAGATTATTTTGTTTGGCCTCATTCCTACATATTAATGGCACCGCTATGTCCCACTATTGCCACACTGTGGCAGCACTATACTTGTGACAAACCATAATGGCTATTGGCTACATTGTGGCACTATATAGTTTGCTACATTTCGTATCTAGGTGTGGCGAAGTTGAGTTCCTTGATAATGATGTCAGTACTTCTCATTTAAATTGCCACATTGTGGCACTACTACACCCAATAAGATTATGGCTACACTGTGGCATTACAGTAACTACACCCCATGTTTGCTACATCTCGTATCTTGGCGTTGTAACCAGATCGTCGAAGTTGAGTTCCTGAGTCCACTCATACAGCTTGTCTGCCTCTTGTTCCCAATCTTCCTGGTCCTCTCCCGGAGCTCCCAGGTACTGATCCCTCCCCACCTCATCCAGAGGGGTGCCACTAGGGACTGGCTCTAGACCCTGAATAAAGGAAACAGAGAAACTTGAAGAGTTGGCTTGGTTACCAAGGAATTACATGTAACTGGCTTCAGACCCTGAAGGAAGGAAACAGATTCAGCCTGTTACAGGTTGCCATTTGGTGGCAACTTTGTGTTCGTTTTTGCCTGGTTGGCAAACAAACAAAAATCTCCCCTACATTCTTTGTAGGGGCGTTGCTAGAAACTTGCTCCAAAACCTGAAGACCTAGCCTGGTTAGCAAACAAAGAACTGAAGCAAGTAAACAAAGAAAATCAAAGAGTTGTGAATTTGTTTAATACCATTATTAATAATTATGAATTTCTCACTAAGTCTGACAGTGTGCACATTAAAACAAAAATCAACACTAATCAAAGTTGGAATACAGGAGGAACTAAACTGTGGAAAAGAAAGAAGAAGTAGGTTTATCAAACAATCTTGGATCATTCTTGTTCTCATGTTACCATGGCAACCATAAGAACAAACAACAACAACAAAACACAGCCCACCTCCTTGCCCTCCTGTTGGTAGAGTTTCTTCATCTGCTGTGCTCGTTTCTTTGCCTGCTTCGAGCCTCGCTGGGACCTCCCCCCGCTACTGAGTGGTCTGGGCCGGGTACGGGACTGTGCAGTAGTGCAGGGGGCTGGGGGAGGCGTCCTGTAAGGGGACAGTACATCTCAGCAACAAATTTAACATTCCAAAAAATGACTACTTTGTTCAATGAATAAATGAATGATTGTTTATTATTACTTAAACTTTCATACATTATATTATATGGTAACCAGCCCCTCCAACTCTGTCCTGTCACTTGCTACATAATGTAACCCAACACCACAGGGTGTCTGCTACAGCATCAGTTACCATGGTGACAGATGTCTAGTCCAGGTGATTGACCTTTGAGATGGTGCACAAACAATGTTTTCCTAGTGCAAAAGTAGACATTATTATCATGATAAATTAAATTGAAAAAAAAAGAAAGTTTTACCTAAGTTGAGAGATGGCCTGTATGTGCTGGAGCTGTATCTCCTGTGTGATTGGTCGGGACATGAGGATAGGGAGGTCTTCCTGTAACCGTGACGACGGAGTGCCCGTGTGGTACAGGTACTCCACGATGTCATACATGATGCTCTGTCGTGGCAACGCTGAAGGGGGAGGGGGAGAAATATCGATCATTCATCGATTATATACAGGGTGTCTGATACAGCACCAGTAACCATAACGTAACCTAACACCACAGGGTGTCTGATACAGCACCAGTAACCATAACGTAACCTAACACCACAGGGTGTCTGATACAGCACCAGTAACCGTGATGATGGAGTGCCTGTGTGGTACAGGTACTCCACGATGTCATACATGATGCTCTGTCG